TGTAGAGCCCAATCCAGAAAAGGCCAGCAAGGGGCAAGACACCACAGCTCCTGCCTATTCCCATAGCATGGATACTCATCAAGCATACATTGTACAGGGACAGATCCTAGGCTTCAGATCTGCCTGGCATACTGTGGTCTGATCTGGGCCTACTCCATCACCACTCTTAGGTATAATGCAGGGGTAAAATAGCCCTGGCATCTCTGAGCTATACACAGTCCCAACAACAAGTTGGATCCCAAGGACCAAGGCTTCAGTCATGCCCCAGCATATACCATTCTTCCCCACGTCCTATTCATTAGGCTAGCACCTGCTGATCCTGCTGTCAAGCAAAGCTATGTGGGCTGGCATCCACAAAGTCACAAGCCTTCCCTCATGCCAAGCTGAAGGAATAGGTAGACTAGAATAGGTAGACTCAATGTTGGTCTGGCAGCCACAAGTTCATGTTACAAGACCACATCTACGGGCTATTTTGGTTTGTGCTTTTTTTCAGACTAGCACTTAAAACCAGAGGCCACAAACAAAACCCTGCAGATTCAGCCTGCAAGCTTGTACCTACAAATAATCCCGTAAACTCAGGCTTTAGTGATCCTAGGGGGCCTTCTTGGACCCAGGATCCAAGTCTATCCCAAAAGACCCTGATTCCAGTCCAGCATCCAAAGACTAAGGTTCCATAATCATTTCTGTAAGTCCAGATTTTAGGTATGCCCCTCTGGACTTAGGAATCAGATGTAACTCAGCCCTAGGTCTATTCCAATAGGCAGCAAGTCCTTCCCAACATAGAGTAAGTTCCAATAGGCTCAGGGATCAGATCTATCCTAACACATAATTGGTTCCAAGGGGCCCAGGCATCAGGTCCTTTCTAGCACATGATAAGCCCTTATATATTCAGGAGTAAGACTAACACAAAGTTATGTCAGCCCCTGTAGACACAGACTTCCAGCTGTCCTTCATAGAAACAAGCTTCACTTCTGTTAAGACATCAGACTTACATGCTAGACTACCAGAGGACTCCAACGGCAAACAACCCATGGATCATATCAGTTGTCCTTCCCGGAACCTCCAGATGGGCTGGCTGGTTATGGGCTTTCTCATACAGTCCTCAAAGACTGGAATAATTTCCTTCTTCTTCAAGTACACAGACAGTTAAGACCAGTGCCATAAGAATCAAGAACAATCCAGGAAATACTACCCAACCAAAGGAACAAAATAAAGCACCACTGACTGGCACTGAGGAAATGCAGTGCCCTAAAACTGCCTGAGATTCAAACTATCTGCTTTAAAAAAAAAACTCAAGAAGATTTAAAAAAAAAAAATAAGTAATTTTAAAAAATAGTACAATAAAAAACAAAATTAGAAATGTAAGAAGTGGAAGGTTTCCTAATCAAACACATTCTAGAGCTGAAAAATACAATAAATAAAAATTTTAATGCACAAGAACAAAAATAATCTAAAGAATACATGAAATTACACAACAAAAGGAAACCATGCAAAGTGTGATGAAAGCTTGCCAAATTTATGACATTAAAAAAAAAAAAAAAAACAGATTATATGAGCTCCAGTCGGAAGACAAACTGAGCTCATTTAAAGAACTAACAGGCTGGAGAGATGGCTCAGCAGCTGAAAGCACTTGCTGTTCTTCCAGAGGACCAGAGTTTGGATCCAGCAACTCACAATCCCCTGTACCTCCAATTCCAGGGACCTGACACCATTTTCTAGCCTCTAAAAGCTCCCCCATATATGTGTGCACACACTAACACAGACATTCACACAGACACATATAATTTGCATTAAAAGCACATAAATTAAAATGTTAATATATAAGAGCAAAAATCCTTTCCAAATCTGGGAAGAGACAAAAATCCAGGAACACAAAGGTCAAATATCTCTTACCAGATTCAATCCAAACAAGGTGACACCAACCCCTCACTGGGATGGATTTTTCAGTGATACAGCTTCTTCGAATCACACATCTTCTGGAAGGAAACCCCCGCACTCACTGATTAACTAAGCTGGACTTTGATGGAATGGTTTCTATCCTACTGTGCTGGCTAGTTTTATGTCAACTTGACACAAGCTATACTCATCTGAGAGGAGGGAAACTCAACTGAGAAAATACCTCCACAATTATAGTTGGGCTATAGGTGAGCCTGTAGGACATTTTCTTAATTAGTAATTGATAGGGAAGAGTACAGACCATGGTAGGTGGTACCATCCCTGAACCACCTGGGTTCTAAAGAAGCAGGCTGATCTGTGAAAATCAGTATGGTAATTTCTAAGTAAATTAGGGATCAACCTACCTCAAGATCCTGCAATACCACTGTAGGGCATATACCCAAAGGAGGCACATTCACACCACAAGGACATTTGCTCAACTATGTTCATAGCAACATTTGTAATAGCCAGAACTTGGAAACCTAGATGCCCCGCAACTGAAAAATGGATAAAGAAATGTGGTATATTTACACAATGGAGTACTACTCAGTGGGAAGAAACAATGACATCCTAAAATTTGCAGGCAAATGAACAGAACTAGAAAAAACCATCCTGAGTGAGGTAAGACCCAGAAAGACAAATATAGTATGTACTCATTCAGAAGTGGATACCAGACATAAAGCAAAAGATACCCAGCCTACAATCCATAACCCCAGAGAAGCTAGAACCCTCTTCCAGAAACAGATGGAAGCAGATGCAGAAATCCACAACTAACTAATGGGCCAAGCTCCTGGAGTATAATTGAAGTGAGGGAGGAGTGATAATTTGAACAAAGAAGTCAAGACCATGATGGGGAAACCCACAGAAACAACTGACCCAAGCTAGTGAGAGATCGATGACTCAGGTCTGACAACTGGCGAACCTGCATAAGACTGAACCAGACTCCCTTAATATAGTTGACAATGGTGTGACTGGAACAATATATGAGGCCACTGGCAGTGGGTCCAAGATCTAACTCTAATGCACAAACTGACTTAGTGGAGCCCATACTATATGGAGAGATACCTTGCTCAGCTTAGACACAGGGGTGTGGGGGTGGAGAGGTGCCTTGGTGCTGCCTTAATGAGATGGGACAGACTTAGTAAACTTCGTAGGGGAGGAATGGGAGGAGGAGGAGAAGAAGGGGAACTGCCATAGGAATGTAAAATATAGATAGACAGACAGACAGACAGACAGACAGACAGACAGATAGAATTTTAAGGATGAAGCAGTCTAAGCAAGTCATGGGAGCATGCCAGTGAGCAGCACCGTCCACTGCCTCTGCATCAGCTCCCGCCTCAGGTCCTGCCCTGTGTGAGTGCCGCCCCACTGCTTTTGGAGATGAACCATTACATAGAAGTGTGAACAGAATGAGCCCTTCACTCCCCAAGTTGCTTTGGCCATGGTGTTTTGTCACAGCGATAGTAACCCTGACTAAGCCACCTACCTAGCATGAACCAACATTTGTTTCTCTTGTTTTCCCTGAGAAAATATAGCAGTTCTATATAAAAAAGGCACACATTTGTTGGCACCAAAATAAAACATGAAGCCGTAAAATTATGTAATTAAAGGTAAGTTGTTATTAGTTTACAATATATAGGCATTATAAGTATATAGAACTTGTCATAATCACAAAGCTGTATGCAAAAGATAAGGATTAGCTCAACACAGACAACTGGGAAAGTTATCTAAGCACAAAACAAGAAAAGAAAGACGTGAAAGAACCTAATATGATCAGAAGGCAATGAACAAATGGCAGCAGGAAATTCTGGCCTATCAATCATCACTGTGAATACAAAGGACTAAATCCTTCAATCAGATACTGATTGGCTGATGAGTAGTCAAGGCTCAACTGAGTACATGCTGCCAACAAGACACTTACCTCATATTTAGGGACATATACAGACTCAGAGTGAAGGGACAGAAAAACACATTTCATGAAAGTAGAAACCAAGAGAAAAATGTTCCACATTTTAAAGGTGTTGAGGCTACATAGATGTATACATTTGTTAAGCCACCAAATAATCTACTTAAGTATAAAATGGTATATAATGTTTCCCTTAAAATAAGTATTAAGTAAATAATGAAAATTCTTACCAATATATCATGCTCACATATTTGAAACAGAGATGTTACAGTAAACAATGAATCTACCTCTAGCTGGAGAAGTGCCCTTATCTCCTCCCTTGACTAGTTCAGTGGGAGCAGGCTGAGGACCTGGCTAGGGAACCCCTGTGCCCGGAAGGTGAGTTCACCAGTAGATAATGTATGTCTCCTTCCCTGGTGCACCCCTAGGAGAAGATGAGGGTTGTCTGTATCTGCTTGCCTTTCCTAACTTTTACCTTTTCTTCTTCTCTGTCTTTTTCTTTCTGATACTGGCTAGAGCCTAAGCATGTTTTTCTGGTACTCTGAGCCCCCTTACTCTTTCTCTGAAGCTCCCCTTCCGGCCATACAACCCTGCTGCACTGGGGCTGACAACTGAGACTGACCTCTATGTCAGCTTACTGAAAGCAGCACGGCTTTTTCCCCCTCTGGGCAACCATTAAATCTGCAGTTTGCCTGCCCTTGGATTTTTTTTTTTTAAACTATAATGAAATGTCCATGTGCTTCCATGACTCCATTCTTAATTTTTTCTTTTCCCAAGTATCATGGTAGCACCAGCCCAACTTGCCAAACTTTCAGGTAACACTTGTTTCCTGCCTTTTAATCTTTAGTGAGAAGAGAAAGTGAGCATGCTCCTGTACCCTAGATGGCATCAGGAACCTGTAACTTACGTTGATTACCTAAAAAATAATTTTAATAAAGCAAATATAGTGAAACATTAAAGCATTCCAAAGGTGAAGGGATAACTATACAATTCTTTTAGCCTGAAAATTCCATAATAAAGCATTAGAAAAAAAGATGGCAGTTCAAGAGAATATAAATATTATACACATAGTTTTCAATATAATTTTCTTGTTTTAGGACTATCATCTATAGAATGAATTAAAGAAACACACAGTAAAACAAAAAACTGAAAGACATACCCGGATTTCTTGAAGGTTGTGAAAATTATTTCCTACTCTGACTGAGATTTTGCTTGGAGTGTAGCTTTCATCAGATTTATAGTCCGCATAAATACACAATGTCTTCACTGTTGTTTTTCTTCTAAAAATAGTAAAAGGAAAAGCATGTCCTTTATCACATCAAAAGAAAACAGTCAAAGAAAAGCATGCTCTCTTCTAAGGTCCAATCAACAATTGCTTTTTGTTTCCCTCCAACTTGCAGGTGAAAACATGTAAAAATGTAAGTACAGATACGGCATTTTACATATTCAAGCATACTTCATGGAGAACATGGTTAAGAACTAATGTATGTATGCCAGGCGTTGGTGGCACACGCCTTTAATCCCAGAACTCAGGAGGCAGAGGCAGGCGGATCTCTGTGAGTTCGAGGCCAGCCTGGTTTACAGAGCGAGTGCCAGGATAGGCTCCAAAGCTACACATAGAAACCCTGTCTTGAAAAACCAAAAAAAAAAAAAAAAAAGAGAGAGAGAGAGAGAATGTATGTAAAGAAGCAATTAAGCCAAATTACATGCTTTAACATACAAACAAGCATTAATGATGCCCATATGCCCATCTCTTTTACTTAGACATTACAAGAGGAAAATGTGCTAGCACCTGGATTTCTTTACTAATTATTTAATTCCTTATATCAATACTTAAAAATTCCTAGCTAAGTGAAAAATCAGGCTCAACAAATAAAACACTTTAAACAATAAAAAGCATACCCTGCCACTTAATGCACAAAATAAAATTCTATTTCATTTCAAAATACATATACATACCCCTTGGGCAAAAGCAAAACATGCATTATACAAAATTAACCTCAGGGAATGAAAAAGACTGAAAACATGAAAAAAATATTCAATTTCTAAAAATCAAAGGAAGAAATTTAAACATGGAGATATTTGTGTTAGGACAGACACCAGGCTGACCCTGCTCCCTGGCAACGGGCGGGGCACGCACAGGGATGTGCTATGCCATCACCACTCGTCAAGCATTATGGACCTGCATGAGGACTCTGGGCATGCGTGGAACCTCAGTGCACATGCACGGTCTTCCTTTTAAAAGTTCCAACTGCCCCGCCCCTCTCTCTCTCTCCCTTCCTTCACTTCACTTCTACTCTCTCTTACTCTCTCTCTCTCTGCTGGCCTATAATAAACTACAGTTAATGCTGTATTATTCTCATATATCTCTTATATCTCTTATTCTCATGTCTCATCTTGTGCCTTTTTCTAACTTAAGCAAAAGAATAACAATTTGTTTACCATCATATTAGAAAATATCAGAATGAATGGTGCTACCCAATTTCACTAGAAAAAGAATACTGAGCCAATAAATAAATTTGTGGGTTACTAATTGAATTTCTAAGTGAACTGAAAATTCATTGCCTTCTGATCATTTTAGATTTGTGTATTTAACTTGGGATGCTGATAAAGGTCAAAAAACAAGAAAGGGGCCACTGCTGTGTGGAAGGTAGGATACCTTAGGTGAGGACGATGTGATGAGTAAGAATGGCCCTCACAGGCTCCTATTTTTGAATGCTTAGTCATCAGGAAGTGGTACTACTTAAGGATTAGGATGCATGGCCTTGTTAGAGTAGGTGTGGCCTTGGTGTTAGAGGAAGTGAGTTACTGGGGGAGGGCTTTGAGGTTTCAAAAGCCCAAGTCAGACCCAAAGTCCTACTGCCTGCAAAACCAGATATAGAACTCTTTGCTGCTTCTCTAGCACCACATCTGCTTGCATGCCACAATGCTTCCCACTATGATGAGGATGAACTAAATCTCTGAAACTATAAGTAACGGCCAATTAAACGCTTTCCTTATAAGAGTTGTTTTCGCCATGGTATCTCTTCACAGCAGTATAACACTGACTAAGGCAGGGGGATAATACAACATATGTGATATGAAACAAAGAAGGCAGGAGGAATATTAGGGGTAGAAAGGTTTAAGTAGGGATGGGGGTGAAGAGGGTAGGAGGAGGGCTAACCAAAACAAAGAATTATGAAGAAGCCATATGAAAACCTACAATCATAAACAAATTTTAAAAATATAATGAAAAACTACAGGAGTTTAAAGGGAGGTAACCCAAACAGGTAACCAATGCTCCCAGAAGCCATAATTCCCAGTGTCTGGAGGGGACACTGCCACAGCAGTTGTTAGTTGAGAAGGCCACAGAAGCCCTGAGAACAATACAAGCCACAGCCATGGTTCTTGGTGGCCCACCCTGTTGTTGAAAGCATGACACATTTTGGTTGGCAGAGAAATCAAGCTGGAACTGGGCCATAAACTTCCTCCCTGGTAGCTAGATCTCACAGAGCTAGAAGGAGCTCTGAAGGATGCTGAGAGAGAAGTCCTTAAACAGTTCACTGAATACATTTGACTTACAATGTTTTCAATTTTTTTGTTTGTTTGTTTGTTTTTTCCAGACAGGGTTTCTCTGTGGCTTTGGAGGCTGTCCTGGAACTAGCTCTTGTAGACCAGGCTGGTCTCAAACTCACAGAAATCCACCTGCCTCTGCCTGAGATTAAAGGCGTGTTGGGATTAAAGGCATGCGCCACCAACGCCCGACTCAATGTTTTCAATTGTTAATGAGCTTATTTGAACATAATCTCAACAAAAATTGAAAGCATCTATATTTTAAAATAATCATGCAGGTATAGTGCTGCAATAGGGGAAATGACAGATTATAAAACAGTATTACAAAAAGATCATATTTGGGAATGATTGTTTAAGCACATTAACCTATATTCATGCAAAGAAAAGGGCATAGATAAAACTGCAAAATTTACAAATCTGACTATTTTAAGTGGGCAAAAACTATAGAAGATCTTAATTGTCTTCCTTATAATTTCTGTTTTTAATAATTTTTCAAGATGAATATATATCATTTGGCCATCAGAGGAGAAAAATAGGTAGTTTTTTTTTTTTTTTTTTTTAACACTGACTCTCCAAAAACATTTTGAAGTCTACTAAAAAGGACTTTACAAGTTAAGCCTAAACTAGTACTGCTTAGTAATACTGAATATATACTGGATATAGCTTGCTTAATAGCCATCGACTGATATCAGTTTACAGTGATGAGTAGATATTTGTATTTACATTTGAGCTAAACCATTCTTTTCTTGAGGTTTATGCTATATACATAGTCATATTGCATTTGCAGAAGAAACAGCTTTGCAGCAAAGTACAAGGCACAGCAAAATCTTTTTTAAACTACTAAATTTTGCCTCATACTGATTCAAAAATTATAATACTGCATAAAAACCATATTGTTTCTCAAATAATAATACACATGGGAAGATAAAATATACAGGCTGAATCAAAATGGAATGCTGGAATTACTCAAATCATCACTCTAACTATGGCCACTGTACAGTGTGAACACCTAATGCATGCCAAGCACCTTGTTAAACTCCTAGGAAACACTGATATAAGGGAAACAGAGAAATGCTTCCCTGTTTCTGATTGACATAAATGCCATTCCTGACTTCCCTCTGTCCTCCAACCTAGTTAACACTTTCTCCTAAGAAATAGCTTCATGTAAGAAGCAAGCATTTCCTTTGTTCCTTCATTCCATAAATATAAAACCAAGCATGTCTGGTCTAGCTAAAAATGGATAAATAAGTCTTTAATACTAGTCTCTAATTCTAGGGTTTGACGCTACCAAATACACTTGACTGAAGATTCAATGCAGTTAGTATGTTTTTATTAGCTTCTTAGTTCTAACAAATGATACTTTGTCCTGCACCTTCTGACTCCTGAACAATTTCTCATCTGGTTAAGAATCCAAGACATGCCAGGCAGTTTAATCCCAGGACTCCAGGTTAGGGTTAGGGTTATAGTTAGGGTGGGAGGCAGAGGCAAGCAGATCTCTGTGAGTTCCAGACAAGCCTGGTCTATAAAGTGAGTTCCAGGACAGCCAAGGCTATGCAGAGAAACAAACAACAACAAAAACCAAAAAACCTGGCAGTCTCACCACAGGAATGAGGAGAGTCAGGCCAGCAGATGAAATCTGCATGGGACACTTTCAGCAAGCAGGGAAGAGATAAAGTTCACAAGGCCATAGGAAAAAAAAATAAATAAATAACTGCCGGAAGAACAATGGCTAGAGAACAGCAAGCCAAGGTATTTTACCTGAAATAACTACTCCACCTGGGAAATGAGAATCAAAGCCATGTGACATCACTTCACATGATTTAACAATCATTATTTTAAAAAACAAATGTTAGTATTACAATACAATTAAATTTGGATGTTCAATATTGAACTTTCATTTAGGCTATTATATTTGTATTTCTAGACCAGCAATTTATCTCAGATTATAGAATAGGAAGTTAAAGGCACAGGCTCTGAAATCAGAGGACTTATGTTCAAATTGAAATTCTACCACTTATTATTTGATTCTGGTTTTATCTAATAAATTGTAAATATTAAGTGAAATAAATGGTGTATCACTTATTTTTCTCATCTTGTGACTAAGTACCTAACAAGAAGCAAAGGAAGAAGTATTCTGACTCATGTTTTAAAGGCATAATCCATCGTGGAAGGGAATGAATAGCAGTAGGAACAGCTCATGGCAATGGCAACAGGAGCAGGAGGCTGTTAGCTGACATCTGTGTAGAACTGGAAACAAAGACTAGGAAATGCTGGCACTCCTTTAGTTTTCTCCTTTTTCTCTTTTATTCAGTTTAGGTCCCTAGGCTATGGGATCATGCTAACAACATTCAAGATGAATCAATGCACTCATAGTCACACCCAAAACTGTATCTCCTAAGGAACTGTCTTACTTAGGGTTACTATTCCTGTGATGAAACACTATGAGCAAAGCAACCTGAAGAGGAAAGTGTTTATTTCACTCACAGTTCCATGTAACAGGTCACCCACATCAGGGTGTAAGCTCTCAGCCTCATGATGCCATGATGATCATAGACTAACTCTATGAAACTTTAATCAAGGCTGCAATTAAATGCTTTCTTCTGTAAGTGTTGCCTTGGCCATGGCGTCTTCATGACAACAGAACAGTGACTCAGACAACTGCCAAAGTCTATACCTCTGTCCACAGCTTTAACTAGGCTCATATTCCTTTTCCTCTTGAAGTAAGCAATAAACAGGACACAGCTTGAATGTTATGATGTGGTAACATTTCCTTCACCAAACAATCTTCATTGTTACCTTGATTAGGTTTAGAATTACTGTGGTGGCTAGTTTTATGTTGACTTCACACAGGCTAGAGTTATCTAAGAGGAGGGGAACCTCAATTGAGAAAATGCCTCCATAAGATCTGGCTGGAGGACATTTTTTTAAGTAGTGCTTGATGGGAGAGGGCCCAGCCCATTGTGGGTGGAGCCATCCCTGCACTGGTGGTTCCTGGGTTCTTTAAGAAAGCAGACTTCGAAAGCAGACTGAGCAAGTGACAGGCAGACGGATGGAGACATGCAGGCACGCACACATTTTTATGTTACAGGGGCTTACAGTCTTGCTTGAACTTGGAATTTTGAACAGTGGATAACTGTGACACTATGGAGATTTTGAAGACAGACTGAATGCATTTTGCATAATGAGATAGCCATGAGCCTAAGGACCCAGTAGTCAAATGGGAAATGTCCTTTACAGGTTTCCTGTCCCTAACTAATGCAATTATTGAAAGGTGGGGCCTAAAAGGACACAGTCAAAAAGACAAAACAACAGCCCACAGAATGGAAAAAGATATTCACCAACCTGACAGAAGGTCAATTTCCAAAATATATAAAGAACTCAAGAAGCTAGTCTCCAAAACACCAACTAATCCAATTAAAAAGTGGGGAATAGAACTAAATAAACAATTCTCAATAGAGGAATCTAAAATGGCTGAAAGACACATAAGAAAGTGTTCAACATCCTTAGCCACACTGGGGTGGGTCTAGGCCCTGCTCCAAATGATTATGACAGATTTTGAAGATCCCCATGGAAGGCCTCGCCCTCTTTGGGGAGCAGAAAGGGGTTGGGATAGAGGTCAGTGGGGGGGCAGGGGAGGAGGGGGAAAGGTAGGACCTAGCTAAAGGAAGTCAGTTACTTAAGTTGGGGTTGGAGGATTGATTAGCCTTGAGATTTACAATGTGACCTCATTTCCTGGCCTGTCTCAGCCTCCTTGTCTACTGAATGAGACCCATCAGCCTCACTTTTCTGCCACCACAGCACAAGCCACTTCCACCACTGTGCTGCGTCCACATAATGGACTCCACACTGTGCCCTCAAACTATCAGACAAAATCTTACTGTAAGTTGCTTCTTATCAGCCATTTGGTTTCACTGATAAGGAAAGTAAATAATACAAACAGGTAATCATTTGGTAAAGAGGCCGGCTGTTTGTATTGAGACAAGGTTTCTCTTTGTACTCACTCTGTAGACCAGGCTGGCCTCAAAAGCAGAGACCCACCTGCTTGTGTCTACTTGGTGCTGCCATGCCCTGCAGTTGCTACAGTGCTAACTGCTATTGCTGGCACATGTATATTACAACTGAGAATAGTGCTCAACTACTGCTTTTGTGCGACACAGTTTAACTGGAGGCACACTAAATTCAGCCATGTATGCATTGGTATTTGCCTGTTTGGTGTTGTAATGGCAGAACTATGTAGCTACAAAGGAGACCAGAGCGACCACAAGATTCAAATATTTATTAACTACTCAAAAGAAGTTTGCTGATTTGTACCCCACAAAAGAAGGAAGCACCTAGAAATGAAACATTTTAGAATGGTAGAGGATGTAATGTAGCAAGATAACAAGGCTGACAAGTTTTCATAACCAACAAATCCAGAACACTAGGCAAACATACAGGTGTTTTCCTATCTCAAAAATAGTAATTATTTTAAAACTAAGCTTACAAATTCTATAATAAGTGCCCCCCCAAGGTTAAGTACAAATACAAAAAGTTATCTAAATATCATACCCAAGGAACTTACAAAACATCATATATTAAGGCATTATGCTGGGTTATAAAATATATTTTTCTGACTCTAGTTCCTAAAGTCAAATGATATTACTTCAGAACCACTTACATAAAGTTTCACCAGAAATGTTAAAGAGGACTAATGGATGACTCAATAGATAAAGTGTCTGCCTCACAAACATGAGGACCTGAGGTCAGAACCCTACAACACACTCTAGCCTTGAGGAGGAGGCAGGAGGAAGGGCAGAGAGAGGTAGATCCCTGAAGCTCAGTGGCCAGTCAACTTAGCCAAAGTGATCACCTTCAGGTTCACTGGGAGACCCTGTTTAAAAAGAATAAAGATGCAGAGCAACTGAGGTAAGACACCAACATCAACTCTGGGTCTATACATGCATATTCAACAGTGTCCATGTGCACCCCTACATACACCCACATCACAACACACACCCACATCACAACACACACACATCACAACACACCCACACATCACAACACACACCCACACATCACAACACACCCACACATCACAACACACACCCACACATCACAACACACCCACACATCACAACACACACCCACACATCACAACACACCCACACATCACAACACACACCCACACATCACAACACACCCACACATCACAACACACACCCACACATCACAACACACCCACACATCACAACACACACCCACACATCACAACACACCCACACATCACAACACACACCCACACATCACAACACACACACATCACAACACACACACACACATCACAACACACACACACACATCAACACACACTCACCACACACACCCACATCACAACACACACACACACATCACAACACACACCCACACATCACAACACACACCCACATCACCACACACACCCACATCACAACACACACATATCTCAACACACACACACACACATAGGGAAAAAAGAACTACATAAAGGGTACAGCAAAATACACTGACACAGCTTGCAATTTGGATGGCAAAAATAGGTCTTAATGACTAGAGAATATTTCATTTTAATTTCTATATTTCCTTAAATTTTATGTAAATAAAATATTTTCTTGTCCACTTATAACCTACAGAATATGAAAAAGTAAAAATGTATTACCTGAATTGGATGTTCACTAAATGAGGCTGAGAGCCATCAGACTGCCAGTAAGTTTCTAGATTGTCATCTCGTAATTGATCCACTCCAAAACCTAAACAGTGAATATGGCAATAAATTTCCATGAAAAAGCTATATATTTAAAACATAAAATTATCATACTTATTTGTCCAGAAATTTAATAAAGAAGACAGTTAAAATATAAAACCAAAACACTTCCACTCTTTCATCCAGTAAGCTGGGTGGCTTACTGGTAGACTATTGTTTATCATGTGTAAGGCCCTGGGTTCAATCCCCTTGACATACAGGACAAATGTTTTGAGTGGGTGGTTTTTAAAAGGCATCTTTGGGGATATATAAAGACCCTATTTGCTTAAATCCAAACTCTTACCCCTTTTATAAACTGATCATAAGAACAGTCCTTCCTGTCCTTTAAAATAAGCAGGTTCAAGCACACTCAGTATGTCATCCTTGCTTTTTGCTACTTTTTAGGTTCCCTAATAAGGATAACTAAATCTCAATACTTAAGAGAACCCTTGTTAAATGACCTATTGAGTTAAAGGCTTTTTCTACCTATTCTACTTTGGCTACATTATCCCTCCTGTTTTACAATTTTATTTGTTATCTTAGTTCAAAGAATTTCATAAAGTGTATTTAGTCTTAAGCAATATAAATATTAAACAAAATATTTTGGGGGGGGGTGTGGAGGTAGAGTTTGAGACAAGCTTTCTCTGTAGCTTTGGAGCCTGTCCTGGAACTTGCTCTGTAGACCAAGTGGGCCTCAAAGTTTAGTGTAGTTGTGAGCTCCCCTCCAAGCAGCTCACAACTACTGTAATTCTAGGGCTGGAGTGATGGCTCAGCCATTAAAGGCTAGTCTCACAAGCAAAAATACAAATTTTAACTCGAGACTAATTTGAAATTTGCTTCTAAGACATTGCCTATGAAAGTATAATGGGAAAAATAACTATAAGCATAATCTTTTGAGAACTGATTGTTCTGGATCTTTACCTCTAGGACACTGAGTATGATCACCAGCTTTCACTCCCATAATATTCTTGTAAGCAGAATGTCTTACATAAATTCACATGCCAATGATACCTCTTTTCTAAGGCTTCTCACATCGTTATATCTGGGTTGTCTTAGTCAAGAAAAAAATTTAAAACAATGACAAATCTGTTTTAACAGCTTTGACAGGTATTATATACTCAGGTAAGAATAGTATTCAGAGAGAAAAAGACTTTAATGTCACAACAGGCTTCAGTGGTTCTTTTTTTAAGGTTTTACTGTGCCGGCAGACACTAGAAGAGGGGACTGGTCCCATGAAGTGGAAGTTAGAAGTGGTTGTAAGCTGCACAATGTAAAAGATGGGAACTGAACTCAGATCCTCTGGAAAAGCAACAAGTGGTCAACAGCTGACCTACCTCCAGCTGCAATGGCGCTACAGAACAGCCCCTACACCTGCAACATCATTCTAGAGTTGCAATATCATCGATGCTAAGAGCCTGCCTCACTGAGAGCATGTTTGATGAATCTTTTAGGTAATTCTGATGCATGCTAAGATGTCACAGCCCCTCGGGGTGGTCAGAGTTATGTAACAAGGGTTTAAGAAGGAGGGAGTTGCGCATGTGGCTCTCTTTTGCCTGGCTGAGCTGACTAGGAAGCATTTCTGGGTCCGTCCTGCTGGTCACTGGCTCCCTTTCGTGAGTACTTTTCCCCAATAAACTACTGTTTATCAACCTATCTCTGACTCCACTTTGTAAACATCTATACCCCTCTTTGGCCTCTGCATTATCTCCTGCCTCCAAATTTCTGCCCTGTTTGAGTTCCTGTCCTGACTTCCTTAAGATACCAGAAAATGTGAAGATCTCCCATGCTCTTGGATAGGTTTATGGAATCGTTCCTAACAACGCAAAACTCTGTTGTATCCCAAAGTCCAGATACATTGAAATACAGGAAACAAGGTCTATGGAATCATACATAAGTATGCATTAACTGTGATTTAGTTGCAAATCCGGAAACAACGATATACACAAAACTAGGTTTATGGAATCGAACCTAACAACTCAAAATTGAGTTGTTAAAATTGAGTTGATACAACGAAATACAGGAAACTAGGTGTATGGAATCATGCATAAATATGCACTAACAGTGTTTTAGTTCCAAAGTCCGGATACAACGAATTACACAAAACTAGGTTTATGGAATCGTTCATAACAACGCACTATCTCTGTTGTAGTTCAAAGTCCAGATACAACGAAAAACACAAAACTAGGTTTATGGAATCGTTCATAACAACGCACTATCTCTGTTGTAGTTCAAAGTCCGGATACAACGAAGTACAGGAAACTAGGTTCATGGAATCATACATAAGTATGCACTAACTGTGTTTTAGTTGCAAAGTCTGGATACAACGAAATACACAAAACTAGGTTTATGGAATCGTTCATAGCTACCCACTAACTCTGTTGTAGTTAAAGTCCAGATACAACGACATACACAAAACTAGTTTTGTGGAATCATTCCTGACAACCCAAAACTCTGCTCTATTCCAAAGTCCGGATACAACGAAATACAGGAAACTAGGTTCATGGAATCATACATAAGTAGACCAATGGAATCGAATTGAAGACCCTAATATAAACCCACACACCTATGAACACCTGATTTTTCACAAAGAACCTAAAACTATACAATGGAAAAAAGAAAGCATCTTCAACAAATGGTGCTAGCATAACTGGATGTGGACATGTAGAAGATTGCAGATCGATCCATATCTATCGCCATGCACAAAACTTAAGTCTAAATGGATCAAAGACCTCAACATAAATCCAGCCACTCTGAATCTCTTAGAAGAGAAAGCAGGAGGTACCCTTGAAGGAATTGGTACATGAGATCATGAACATAACTCCACTAGCACGGACACTGAGATGGCCAATAAATGAGACTTCCCGAAACTGAGAAGCTTCTGTAAGGCAAAGAACATAGTCAACAAGACAAAATGGCAGGCCACAGAATGGGGAAAGATATTCACCAACCCCACATCTAGCAGAGGGCTGATCCAAAATATAAAAAGAACTCAAGAAGCTAGTCACCAAAACACAAAGCAATTCAATTAAAAAGTGAGGTTCAGAACTAAATAGACAATTCTCAATGGAGGACTCTAAAATGGCTGAAAGACACTTTAAAAAGTGTTCAACATCCTTAGCCATCAGGGAAATGCAAATCAAATCAACTCTGAGATATCATCTTACACCGGCCAGAATGGCTTAAATGACAAACAACAATGACAGTCTGTGCAGGAGAGGATGTGGAGAAAGGCAAACATCTCTCCATTGCTGGTAGGAGTGCAAACTTGTGCAGCCACTTTGAAAATCAGTATGGCAGTTTCCCAGAAAAATGGGAATCAATCTACCTCATGATCCAGCAATTCTATTCTTGGGCATATACCCAAAGAATGCACATTCATATAATAAGGACATATGTTCAACTATGTTCATAGCAGTGTTGTTTTTAATAGCCAGAACCCGGAAGCAACCTAGATGCCCTTCAACTAGTCCGGATAGAACGAAATACACAAAACTAGGTTTATGGAATCGTTCATAACGATGCACTAACTCTCTTGTAGTTCAAAGTCCCGAAACAACGAAAAATAGGAAACTAGGTTTATGGAATCATACATAAGTATGCACTAATTGTGTTTTAGTTGCAAAGTCCGGATACAAGGAAATACACAAAACTAGGTTTATGGAATCGTTCCTAACAACCCAAAACTCTGTTGAATTCCAAAATACGGATACAACAAAATACTGGAAACTAGTTTTATGGAATCATACATAAGTATGCACTAACTCTGTTTTAGTTCCAAACTCCAGAAACAAAGAAATACACAAAACTAGGTTTATGGAATCGTTCCTAATAACTCAAAACTATGTTGTATACCAAAGTTAGGATACAACGAAATACAGTAAACTAGGTTTATGGAATCATACATAAGTATGCACTAATTGTGTTTTAGTCCCAAAGTCCAGACACAACGAAATACAGGAAACTAGGTTTATGGAATCGTTCCTAACAAACAAAACTCTGTTGTATTCCAAAGTCCAGATACAACGAAATACACAAAACTACGTTTATGGAATCAATCATAACGATGCACTAACTCTCTTGTAGTTCAAAGTCCGGATACAATGAAACACACAAAACTAGGTTTATGGAATCGTTCCTAACAAACAAAACTCTGTTGTATTCCAAAGTCCAGATACAAAGAAATACAGGAAACTAGGTTTATGGAATCATACATACGTATGCACTAACTGTGTTTTAGTTCCAAAGTCCGGATACAACGAAATACACAAAACTAGGTTTATGGAATCGTTCCTAACAACCCAAAACTCTGTTGTATTCCACAGTCCGGATACAAAAAATACAGGAAACTTGTTTATGGAATCATACATAAGTATACACTAACTGTGTTTCAGTTGCAAAGTCAGGATACAACGAAATACAGAAAACTAGGTTTATGGAATCCTTCCTAACAACAAAAAACTCTGTTGTATTCCACAGTCCGGATACAAAAAATACAGGAAACTTGATTATGGAATCATACATAAGTTTGCACTAACTGTGTTTTAGTTGCAAAGTTCGAATACAACGAAATACACAAAACTAGGTTTATAGAATGGTTGCTAACAACCCAAAACTCTGTTGTATTCCAAATTCGGTATACAATGAAATATATGAAACTAGGTATGGAATCATACATAAGTATGCACTAACTGTGTTTTAGTTCCAAAGTCCGGATACAACGAAATACACAAAACTAGGATTATGGAATAATTCATAACAACCCAAAACTCTGTTGTATTCCACAGTCCGGATACAAAAAATACAGGAAACTAGGTTTATGGAATCATACATAAGTATACACTAACTGTGTTTCAATTGCAAAGTCAGGATACAATGAAATACAGAAAACTATGTTTATGGAATCGTTGCTAACAACCCAAAACTCTGTTGTATTCCAAAGTCCGGAAAAAACGAAATACAGGAAACTAGGTTTATGGAATCATACATAAGTATGCATTAACTGTGTTTTAGTTCCAAGTCCGGATAAAACGAAATACACAAAACTAGGTTTATGGAATCGTTCCTAACAACCCAAAACTCTGTTGTATTCCACAGTCCGGATACAAAAAATACAGGAAACTAGGTTTATGGAATCATACATAAGTATACACTAACTGTGTTTCAATTGCAAAGTCAGGATACAATGAAATACAGAAAACTATGTTTATGGAATCGTTGCTAACAACCCAAAACTCTGTTGTATTCCAAAGTCCGGAAAAAACGAAATACAGGAAACTAGGTTTATGGAATCATACATAAGTATGCATTAACTGTGTTTTAGTTCCAAGTCCGGATAAAACGAAATACACAAAACTAGGTTTATGGAATCGTTCCTAACAACCAAAAACTCTGTTGTAATCCAAAGTCCGGATACAATGAAATAAAGGAAACTAGGTTTATGGAATCATACATAAGAATGCACTAAGTCTGTTTAGTTGCAAAGTCCAGATACAACGAAATACACAAAACTAGGTTTATGGAATCATTTCTAACAACCCAAAACTCTGTTGTATTCCAAAGTCTGGATATACCGAAAAACAGGAAACTAGGTTTATGGAATCATTCATATGTATGCACTAACTGTGTTTTAGTTCCAAAGTCCTGATGCAAGTCCGGACTTTGGAATACAACAGAGTTTTGGGTTGTTAGGAACGATTCAATAAACCTAGTTTTGTGTATTTCATTGTATCCGGACTATGATTTACAAGAGAGTTAGTGCATCGTTATGAATGATTCCATAAACCTAGTTTTGTGTATTTCGTTGCCAAAAGCAATCTACAGATTGAATGCAATCCCCATCAAAATACCATACAATTCTTAACAGACCTTGAAAGAACAATACTCAAGTTTATATGGAAAAACAAAATATGTATCCGGACTATGATTTACAAGAGAGTTAGTGCATCGTTATGAATGATTCCATAAACCTAGTTTTGTGTATTTCGTTGTATCAAGCAATCTACAGATTGAATGCAATCCCCATCAAAATACCATACAATTCTTAACAGACCTTGAAAGAACAATACTCAAGTTTATATGGAAAAACAAAATACCCAGGATAGCCAAAACAACTCTGTACAATAAAGGAACTTCTGGAGGCATCACCATCCCTGACTTCAAGCTGTAGCAATGAAAACAGCTTAGTATTGGCACAAAGACAGGTAGACCCAAATAAACACAGAGAGGCTTATATTAAGGTTGTTCTCCACAAACTGACAGCAAGGTCCCACTGCTGAAGACAACACCTACACAACTCACTGAAAATGGTGAACCAGTGCACACATAGAGCCTTCACCCCTACAATCCAGCATCTTTGGTACAGGAAAGTACTCTGAATGCTGTCAAAAGAAAAACATAAACATCAAGCCAGCCACAATCCCTTTATCTACAGGTGTACTCCCTGCCAGATATGCTATGACAAATATGGTACAAAGCTTGTGGGAGTACCCACTCAGTATCTAATTTGATTTAAGGCCCACTCTATGAGACAAAACCCATATATGACACTGCTTGGCTGTCCAGGAACCTGAGACTAGACAGCTCAGGGATCAAGGGTAAAACCAAATCTGGTCTAAAAAATAAAAAAATATATAGTGATAAAATGACTCCTCATGGAATTCTTCTGTACTCCTAGATTAATGCCTTGTTCAGCATTAATCATCAGAGAAGCTTCCCCCTTCAGCAGATGGGAGCAAACATAGAGACCGATAGCCAGACATGACTCAAAGAGTGAGAGAACTTGGAACACTCACCCTAAATGGGATGTCTCCATCAAATCCCTCCCCTCAGAGCTCAGAGAACAACATAGAAGAGATGGAAAGAATGGTAAGAACCAAAGGCAATGGAGGACACCAAGAAAACAAGGCCCTCTAAACCAACAGAAGCATGAACTCAGAGACTGGAGCAGCATGCACAGAGCATGCATAGGTCTGTGTCAGATCCTGTGTGTTCATAGTATGGCTTCCATTTAGTGTTTTTATGGGCGCACTTAAACATGTAGGTCTCTGATTCTTGTGCCTTCTCATGGGCTCATCTCCTTCCGTTGATTTGCCTTGTCCAACTTTGATGTGATAGTTTTTATATTATTATACTGTTTTTTTTTTTTTCAAATGAATGAAAACCTAGCCACTAGGGTTACTGTCTCTTCTACCTCCTGGGAGAGGGAAAAATCAGGTTTTTCCAGTAGAGTGACACTAGGTATATCAACCACTCCAGAACAGGCCTTGTATTTAGGAATAATTGACCAACACATAATGGGCTCCACAGTTTTTTGTAGGTGCTTTTATTTGGTTACAGTTTGAGGTGTGTGTGTGTGTGTGTGTGTGTGTGTGTGTGTGTGTGTGTGTGTTTTTTTTTTAGGTGTGGTTTTATTTTGTTTTCTTGACTTGGTAACGTTTTTGTTGTTGTGTTCTTTTTTTTTTCATTTTTTGTTCATTTTTAAAGAAAGAACTTAAAGTTGGGTGGGTAGGGAGGGGGAGAAGACCTAGTAGGACTTAAAGAAGGGGAAGAATATATTCACATTTAAAAATTGCTTTCGCTGGGCATTGGTGGCTCACGCCTTTTATCCTAGCACTTGGGAGGCAGAGGCAGACAGATCTCTGTGGGTTGGAGGTGATCCTGGTCTACAAAGCAAGTCCCAGGACAGGTTCCAAAGCTACAGAGAAACTCTGTCTTGGAAAAAAAATTGCTTTAACTAATAAAAAAAATATTAAAAAAAAAAGAGTAGAGTAAATGGGGTCCCAGCAGTGGGGAACAGCAGCTCAGCCTGTATTAAAGTTGCCATAAGGACTGGATGAGCTAACAAAGCTAGACTGGTTCTTGGCCCAAGGCAGGCTCACATCTGCCTACACTGCTACTATGACACTGCTGTTAGCAAGCAGACTTTATGACTGCAGCATTTTACAGTCTGAACGTCTATAACCTTAAAGTACATTTTGCTTTTCAGGTTCCTCTCCACTGTACTCAAAGTATTTTTCATATGTTAACTGTTTTTAGTAGCTTGGAAATCTCAAAACTTGCCATCTTAAGACTTTAGTTGCTGCTCTGAAAATAATTTTACACTAATATTTTTAAATTATTACAAAAAAAAAAGAAAATGCCTATCAAATTAAAGATTAGATAAATGGGAAAAGATACACATATATTTTATCCTGGAACATACTAGCAAAAGACATGGACTCCAAGAGTAAAGAGAAAAATATTAGATGCTTCCAGAAAGAACAGCAACATAAAATGTGAATTAAATAACAACTCAATAATAGCATAGATGGTATAGGATAAAGAGACGATCACACTGGGTAGCACAAGCCTTTAATCCCAGTACTCAGGAGGCAGAAGCAGTTGGATCTCTTGACAGTTAGAGGCCAGCCTGTTCTACAGAGCAAGTTCCAGGACAGCCTCCAAAGCTACACAGAGAAACCCTGTCTCCAAAAACAAAAAACCAAAAGAGCGACAGAGAGAGAAAATCACATGAGAAAGTTAAATCTAACAAATGTTAAAAATCTTACTAATATTAGTAATAAAATTGGACAAAAATATGCAATAAGCGAAAACCCAATTCTTCAGAATTACAATAAAGTATCTGCACAAAAAGAATATTAAAAGTAGTCCAACACATAAAGGTAGTCTAGTGCATAAGAAAATTATAAGGAGGTCAGGTGATGGTGGCACTTGCCTTTATTCCCACCACACAGATGGATCACTGAGTTCCAGGCTAGCCTGGTCTACAGAGCAAGTTCTAGGGCATCGAGGCCTACCCAAAGAAACCCTGTCTCAAAAACTCAAAAAGAAAAAAAAAAAAAAAGACACATATGTATAAAAGAAAAAATTATAAGTAGCGATTATCACAGTATTAGTTTTGTTGCTTTACCTGGTTTGCATGATGACAGTGACCAAACTGCTTGGGACCCGATTTCCCTTACTGTCGCAGTCCTTTCTAACTGCTTGGGATCAGCACCAGGAGGAGTCTTGTTCGGCGTGGTCATTCTTAACTTATTCTGTGGAGAAGCAAGCAATACTCATTATTCCAAGACCTGACCATCTTTCTGAAAAATGTAAAACCAAAAGTTCAGTGCCCAGTGTTGTGGCACACACCTTTAACCCCAGTAAAGGGTTAAAGGGAGGCTAAGGTAGAGGCAGAAGCAGAAGGATGGAAGTTCAAGGCCAACCTGCTCTACACAGAGAACTCCAGGGCTACGTAGAGACCCTGTCTCAAAAAATAAAATAAAGTAAATTTCAATGGCAAAATAATCACCCGCATTCCCTTCATCTTTCATAACTTTTGTTAATCCAAGTAAACCTATGAAAACATTCCCCCCAAAAAAGTTCTTGGACAGTTAAGAGTATGTCGAACTGCTTCGGTAACCATTATAATTACTCTACATAGACCTATAGACCGTCTCCTTGACACGTCCCTTCAGATTCCAAGCTATCCCTATAGTCGCCACACAAACAATAATCATTTAAGTAATCACCGAGACATTATCAATTCCGTTAAATCCTGAACACCCTGACGTCGGGGGAGGAGGAGAGAAGGCCCATCTCGACACTTGGAACGGACTAAAACGAACAACCAAAGGGATAAACAAAAGGCTGGGAGAGGAACAGAGTCTGGGCATTAAAGACCGGCACTGCAGGAGGATCCCGCCTGACACCGCTAGTCTACCAGATCGGCCAAGGCTCCACCCCAGGACCACCCGGCCTGAGGAGACAGCAAAACTAACGCCCCGAAGAACGCGGAGGAGGAATCCTC